TATTATAGGATAGATGAATTCATAGATGACAGCAATATAATAAGTTTATTTGAATAAATGATTTTCTATTCTATTCTATTAGAAGTTAACTTATTTACAAAATTAAAAACTTTTTACAATAAAATATTTTTATTTTATAATCACATATATGTAGGTATATATATATATATATAGATAAAAGTAAAATCAAAATTGTATATTAAACATTTTTTAAAATAACACTAATTATAAATGATTAAACATTCATTCAGAAAAATGTTGTATAAGTATATGCAAACTAAGTAGTGTAGTTCAAGGCGCATTAAATTAATGACCAGTAAAAAACTGTAGTTTAGTACTTTGTGTCTTTGTTAATACTTATATAAAGCTAAGTAACATTTTTATACTCATTATTTAACAAATCAACAAACTAACATAATTCAACAAATCAACAATGATATATATAAAGCTAAGTAACTTTTTTATACTCATTATTTAACAAATCAACAAACTAACAGAATTCAACAAATCAACAATGATATATCTAAAGCTAACTAACTTTTTTATACTCATTATTTAACAAATCAACAAACTAACGTAATTCAACAAATCAACAATGATATATCTAAAGCTAAGTAACTTTTTTTATACTCATTATTTAACAAATCAACAAACTAACACAAATCTACATTAATCATGTCAAATTTAAAAAAAAAAACAAAATTTCATCTATTCAGTCGTCTTAATTCTATTTGTGGACCATCCAATCGATCCCTTATTAATACATTTAATTCCTGGAGTGATTGCCGCTCCTCCATTTCGAACAAACGCCTGCGTACACTGCGAGGTCCAATGGCGTCTGCTCGACGGCGTCGTCGCTCTGGACGTGTAGTAGCCGTTGAAGTTCTAAAAAAGTTTTTTTTAAAATAATTATTATCATTATTGTTTTCGGTATGCATGATTGGTACTAATACCAGACTTGATGTCTAGGAATATACTAGTGATTAGGACTATAAGCCCCCATTACTAATAATCTTAATATTTACAGAAATATTTTCATATAACAATAATTTATTATGATATAAATTTTTTAATCAATAATAAGGTATAAGTAAGTGTTATTTATTAGTACTGTCTTATCTTTACTTCTTAGTTAACATTGAAAAACTGTGTATATATAAAAAGGTACCAACTCTGTCTCAACTCATATTTCTGCTATGAAGCAGCTGTTCTTGCATAGCTGTATTTCAGTTTGAAAGGTGGGAAAAGGCTATTTAGGTACCTTATATACAGAAATAAAAGGAATGGTAATGCATGAGGAATACTATGGAAGTCACCATGTATTTTGATGACATCCATTATGTTATATATGTCTAGAGATAACAGTTAGCACTATTTTAGTAATGGTTTTACAACATACCTCTGGAAATGCAGGAACATGTGCATCCGACTGAGGTTCTCCAAAGCCCTCTCCCATAATACCCAATATTCTGCACTGTATTGGGTTTAAAGGCTCAGCAGATGATGGCCCTACCCCAGTGGCTGTGGCAGACCTTCGAGCAGCAGTAGCAGCTTTTTTAGTTAGATATTTTTTGTCAGCCCATACCTAAAATTTATAAAGTATCAGTATTGGAAAATTTTATTTAATAACAAAATTATTTAACATTTTAAATGCATATCCAGTACTAAAATATCAAGAAAAGTGCTTACCTTCTGCCACTGCTTTACAGTTTTAGTGCATCCACCCAATGCATTGAGTTCGTCTGTAAGACGAACCCATAATTGGGTGGATCTTGTTCGCCCTTCTGCATTTCTACAGTGGCCACGAGCTAACTCCTGGTGCTCTGCTAGGAATGTTAGGAGTGTATGCACTTGTTCCACAGTGGGATTACTCATCTAAATGCATAAATACATTTGTTAGCGCTTGTCATAAATAGAAACTAATAAATAAAATCAAAGTTATTAGATGTTCATTTTCATTGATGTTTAACGAACAAATTTAGCAATAAAAAATTATTTAAAAACACTTGTGATGATAATTCTTAAGTTTATATATAAAAAAATAAAAACAAAAATTCAAATGTAAATAGAGGTTTGACGTTTTCTTATGACATAAAATACTACTAATTTTAGAAGTTTATAATTTCAATACATTTAAATATAAACGACTGTACATTTTATTTTATCCGGAGTATACCACTTTATTTTTTTCCTAATTTAAGAGTGTATAATAAAAGACTTCTCATCTTTCATTCGTTCACGATCATAGTCTATGGTACCCGTCCGAAATATCTTATTCCGAAGAAACTTCATGGTTCCTTTAAACTAGTATTTCGGTCGTCTTTCGTTTCGTTACGCGATAATCGGCAGTAACTTTCGTGGTAGACCTACTGTACAGTAATGAAAGTCCAACGAGTATAATAACACAATGGCTGCAATTTAGAAATATCTGTATTGTGTAAAATAAAATAAAGTAAATTGGATAAAATATCTCTAAACATTAGGGAATATAATTTATATATAATTTGGCAATTTATTTACAATCCACATTGCATACTAGATGACACAAGACAAATGTACGTAAAAATAATAATGGTATTTTTATAAACAATAACCCTATTTTAATTTAGAAAAAACTACAAAATAAACATAAAGTAAAATTCGTTTACATTTTCTTACATTTTTCTCTCAGTTAAGCGTTCTTTTTAAAAATACTAAAATGTTTTTTTTTTAATATTTACAATTAATTGCCATTAGTGTGACGAAATACCACGCTCTTGTGCTGTTCATAGTGCAGCAGAGTAGGTGGGTTTTATTTGTAGTAACTGTACTTTTGTCTTGGCATGCTAAAATAAATATTATATATATATATATTGTTCAAAATCTACCCTGTAACATCGTAAGCACAGATTATTATATTAGAGTCCGTTAGTTTGTGTTCCCGCGGTTTCTGTTCCCCTCCCTTACCTACAGTACTGAACTGACCGTACAGCGGCCTTGACGCGCGCGCGCATTGTGTTGTAAATTAAAATAAATTAGAACTGTGTTAAACCTACTGTGAAACTGGAAAGCTAGCGAAGATACCTTCGAGACCCTGAAGCCCAAGAAATCCGCAGAACCATACAGGTACGCGACAGACGCTTCCACATATTTTTCCCTATATATATATACATAGTAATTTCCCATTTTGGTAGCAGAGAGTAAATTCCCTAACATATATATATATATATATAACAACTTTAAATTAATATTCGTAGAAATAAGTATGTATTAGCAAAATTAATTAAATATTACTTAAATTATCAAAATTGTTATGTCGCACTATACTAATGTTCACTGACAAATGTTTACGAATGTCTTATCGTAGCGGTGTCGTAAAAAATAGCATAGATCCCCTACCTCGACGAGCGCTAGCGCAGCACTGAGAATTTACTTTTGGCGCAACGGAATTTATACAACTTTAAATTATTATTATTGTTTATTTTTTTCTTAGAAACTTATATATTTTTTTTATATTTCTAATTTACAAGTATATTAACATTATTATTGTTTTTTTCGTTCAAAAATTTCGTTGTATTTATGAGAAAATTAGAAATGATTATGGCAAAGTTTTGTTGAAATTTCGGGTTTAATTATGATCAATTTTTTAGATATTTAAGTTGAAAATATAAAAAAGGACGATGCTGTCTCAATTTATAAAGTAATTATCAAGTTTTAGTAAAGATATCATATCAATTTATGTTTGTTTATTAATGAACGACGACCCCAAACTTCTGTCTCTTAGCGTTTTTGAATAAACTATTTTAGAAATTAGGAAGACTAATAAAGAGAAAATTAACATTTCAAAGATGTCGTTTTTAAGATTAGATATCTATCTATATAATTCAGGAATCAAAATGTATATCCGACTCTTAATTTCTTAGAACCAGAACCCCAAAGACCCTGCTTTTATGCCAAAAAATGTGAAAGGCCTCAACAAATAAATTAAGGTGGACGCGAATTACTACATCGAATTTTACAAAACTTCCACTTTGCGTCCATTATTTTCCTTAAATTAATAATAATTTATTATTATTATATATTATTTATATAATAATTTAAAAAAATAATTTATAATTATAAACACGTAGTCTTAATAAAAAATGTACAATAATAATAAACAATACTTTTTTAATTATTTTTACATGCAAGTATGTAAAATTAATTAAATATGTATTGTTTATTATTATTGTACATTTTTTATTACTGTTTATTCTTAAAGTTGCAATCATTATTTGCCTACTACTAACCTAATTTTAGGTTCTACCAATGTTGAGAAGAATTATTTTAAAATTTTTGAAGAGATTTTTTTAATGATAATTACCTATATTGATTTTTTATATTTATATTCTTAAATAAAGAAATTGTTAAGGTACAATCTTTCTTTACAAATTCTTAAAAATATCACGCCTATATTCCTTTTCTAAGTTGCTGGACGCTAAATGGTCCAAGGTTGGACGCAATTTGGATTTTGTGGACGCAAAGTGGGTAAAACGTCTTATTCTGAAGTTTATCTATTTATAATGAAAATACAAGATGTTTCTAGTAAAACTGAAAGTTAATCTTAAAATAAACTATATAATGAATACATTACATAAATTTGTCATAGAAATTAGTGCTGGAGAATTTTTATAATCGCCGTCAAACTTGCCAACTGCACTAAATGGACGCGAACAGGCGAAACGACCCTATAAGGGTTTATATGCGACAAAGTATAAACTATTTATTCGAATACTTGAAAGAAATAGGATTGTTAGTAAGTAATGGGGAGTAGTGTTTACTGGCTCCAGCTAGCTGTATGTTACGTTCTATCGACGTTCTTGCTGGCACCCCTTAAAACAATGGAGTTCTCAATGAATTTACCAGTTTTACCATGATTGGTTATATATAAATGCAACAAATAATCACTGTTTGTTACATAAACAGACTTTAATGAAGTTTACACATGTTTATCTTATCTAAGATTAATGCATAGGACAAGGTAAAGTAAGCTACACACTCAATTACATCTAGATAGTTAAGTAACAATACAAAGACACTCATTTCTAAAATTAGCATAATAAATGTAAATATGAGATATCAGTTCAGAATAGACACCTACTAGTATAAATTAAAATATTCTAAAATATAATCTAATAGGCACATACCTATATAGGTATTTCAAAGTTTCACTGGTACAATTTTTTAAGACAAATTACATTTAATAAATACATAAAAAAATGCTGTAAGTATGTACTTACGTTATAAATTTTAATATCTCTTTCGATTTTCTAGGTCTAACATCACAGCTAGTCCTTGACTACACTCCTAGATATTTACACATAAAACAGTCGAAAACATTTAATTTGTCACGTACGTATGCCTGGATGTCTCATTGACAATCTTACTAAACAAACAATTTATAAAAATAATTTTCGTTTACCAAATTTACACACCACGGGAACAGGGAATCCCAAATTTAATAGAGTAACTACATATAGATATTCTAATATTTATTGATAGGTATAAGAGAATTATAAGCTTACATGCAGATTATCACATAAGATGTCACTATATTTAAATACAATTAATATTCAAAGGGGACAGTATTTCTCACTAAACATATGCTACTTGAGTAACCAATAATACCATTTAAGTTTCTTTACTTTGCATAAAATTATAGATTAATATTCAGCCACTTATGTGACGCCATCGTTAAATCTAAGTCAATCACTATAAGTATAAGAATTCACTGGTAGACATAATCCAGAAATCTCTGATAGGTCGTGATTTGACTACAATTGCTAGATAAGTTCTCAGTCAGTCAGAATGACATTTGTGAATAATTTATAATTAATATTGAGATCAATTTTCAATACTTAAAAGTAAACTTGGCAGTTCACAGTTCTTGACAATATGTGTAAAATATACTTTGTCAGATAATATATTCTTCAGTAAGAACATTACATATTACATTACTACATATGAAGAATTGTTTTGAGATAGTGGTGTTGAACTTTTTATAAACTGCTATTAGCTAATGATAATATGAGGTCAAATTGCTTTTAAATAAAGTTAATACGCAATATGACATTTTTTTTGTTATATTTTTGCCGGTAATTTTCCTCTTTCAGAGTTGTCACTATGCATAATTTTTTACAGTTTAGAAGATTGTTTACATTTCTATAAATATCTCATATGCAGATTTCAGTCAAAATTATAATAAACTAATATTTTCCTTAAAATATCAAATAAAATATAAATTTTACCAATTGGCCCTTGGATGGAATCAAATGAAGGTCAAATCAAAAAGCTAAGGAATAAATCAATGTAACGATCGGCAACCAGTCTGATTTTTTAATCTCGTGATTATATACAGATATATAGGTATAATTAATTATGCTTCGTATATTATTATTATCGTCATCCGATTGAATTATCCTATGCCAATTAATATCTTTATCAATAGATTGTGATGCTATATGTATTCACATAGCATTTCACATAGCATTCAATTTATGTTTTATTTGATATTTTAAGGAATACAAAGGGATAAGCTAATTTCGGCGTACTTAAAAATATCATACTTATGTATGAGTTTAGATAATGAAATAGCTGAACAGTTGATGTTTACAATATCAGAATAGGTTCCTGGGTGGAGGCACAGAGACGACAGCTGCGCCAGCGCGTCCAGTCGTCAGCGGCGCCAACTTTCGCCAACAGTTAGCTTCTGAATCGTACATTTCCACTACACACAGATACTGGACCCCATCATATCCACCTGTGGATAGTTTGCAGTGTTAATATACTAAGTGTGTTCATTGGTAATTTAGAAATAACATGTAGATTACAGTGGTATTATCATTTTAATTTGTATGCAAGTGTCCACTTTAAAGTACATCACAAAGACAGACATAAAATTAGCTAACGTGTATTAGAAATTAACTAACAAAATAAACAACAAATAAGTTTTTATTTTTCATACGACAAAATAGTTAATAAAAAACCGGTTCTTACCGACAGCAACAATTCGATCTCCGAGCAGACAGGATCCTATAGCATCTCTGCCGTAAGAAAGGCGAGCGAGCAGCACCCACGAGTCGGCGACGGGGTCGTACCGCTCCACGCAGGCGAGGCGGCCGCCGACAGTGTTCGCGGGTGCCTCGTGACCGCCCAGTGCGTACAAGTAACCACCAGCCGCGCATACCTACAATATTATTATTTTATTCTTCATTATAATTTTAAATGACTACTATTTATTAACGTTTATGCGCCGTCAATTTCAGCACTACATCGACAATGCCTCTGACTATCCCCTCTGGGATAACCATCGTGATGGTATATTTGTGGGAGTAGTGTGAGCACCGACGCTGGGGGAAAGGATTGTAAGTAATGAGAACTATCAGATTCGCCCTGGATACCATCCTGGCTAAATCGTAATGGATTCGCCACGATGAGCTAACTAGCCTGAATTCATCAACATCCAGACATCTCTTAGAGGTACCCTGCAAGTGTACAACAACAGCGCAGACGAGTGTTTTATTTTATACTATATAGGTGTCAAACAAGCATAGGGCCTATATGATGGTAAACGGTTATGCATAGCCTATGAGCGTCTTAAATACAAGTAGTGTCCCGAGGGTCTTGCTTTGCTTAACGAACCTCAATATATCCTTCTTGAAAACCATATGCTGTAGTCTCTCGACAAAACCTCGGCTCGTTTATTTCACAATCTAATTATATGCGGGAGGAAGTTTCTCTGAAACCGCTCTGTCCGAGACTTAGGTTACCATTATGATACTTAGTAAAAACTGCTTTCTTGATATGATAGCGTAGCGATTTTTGTATTGATTGCCGCATGCATCCTTATGTAAAGTGAGAATACTGTAACTATCATATAATAAATTTCAGTAGCTATGACGAGGTCGAGTGGAATGAGTAGTCATGCTAACTAAAATGTCCATACATGTGGCGGCGTGGTGGGCCGGGTCATTGGGCTCCCTAAAATATGGCCGAGCGTAGTGATGGCTGGCTCATCCGTCATACTCGTGAACGAGTGCTGCTTGTAGGGACTTTTTTTTTTATTTTTAAATACAATTTTCCACAGACATATTCGTCCGTGCCTTTTTTAATTTACTTTAATGTTATTATATTTATTTAATTTCCACTTTTGTACAACTCCAGCCGAGATGTTACAATTTGCCTAACAGTGGCACCGAGGCAGACCTTATCCGTCTGGCCCAGAACCACCGCTGGCCGGCCGGGTGAGTTGACAACATGCAGTGTCACCTATCTTTATTAGGAGGATTAGATTTACCAATATGCATATACAATTATATAAATCTTACACTACTACTAATTTCACAGTTCACTTTTTGTCGTAATTCGGGAATTTTTTTTTGTTTTTTATTTTTATTTTTTTTTCTTGTAGGGACTGGTCTGCTCTTATCACTACGACTGCTTTAATCTTATTGTGTTTTTATATTCGAGCCTAAATAAATTATTGTCGGTTGGTAGTTTGTTTTCACACGTATCGACTCGTAAAATGTGAACTCACAAGGATCGTTTAAAAGAGCAACACACAAGTTTCTCGCTTATTCTTCTTGTGATGAGACAGCTTTCGAACAAGCGGTAGATTAAAAAAAAATTGTTTAATATTCAAATGTGCTTAAATTAAGTTTATTCGAATAAACGATTTTCTATTCTATTCTAAAAAATAGCACTAACGCTAACGCCGCCGCGGCGGCGCGTCATGGGCGCGCAGTTGGTCCAGCGGTCGGTGGCGGGGTCGTAGCTCTCGACGGAGCGGAGGCAGGCGCCGCCGTCGCGGCCGCCCACGGCCACCAGCCGCCCGCGCAGCGCCGCCACGCCGCACGTGCTGCGCGCGCCCGCCATCGGCGCCACCACCGCCCACGACCGCGAGCACGCGTCCCACCTGCGCGCGCCCACGCTCATTACACATCGATACTATAATATTAAATACAGATTTACAGATAAACTTACCGGCCCCGAGTATCGTTTACGAAAGTCAATAGGTCTTTTATGGGATTAGATATAAAAATTTACAGTAAGACATCAAAGGATATATTGGAGAATTACTTCTTAAATAAATTCAGTCAAATCATATTTACTGAGCAAAGCCAAACTCACTAAACGATTACTTGAATGACGAGCGTGCATGGCAATAGTCGTTCATGCACGGGATTTTCATTTAGTGTTACCCATAGTCACCTATATAAATATACATATCGGTTAAAATTATAGCCTATGTGTTATTATAATGTATATCTATATGATGATGTAAGCTATATTACTGTAAAGTAACATCACAATCCGTTCAATAATTTTTGCGGAAAAGAGTAACAAACATCTATCCATACTCACATACTTTCGCATTTATTATATTATTAGGATATATACTGAATGACAATTAATCAGTGTGCACTTAATTTGGTATTCATACACATGAGAAAAACTGACTTTCATAAAATACTAGCTACCCAGCCCAGTACTATACATATAAACCTTCCTTTGAATCCCTATCTATTTAAAAAAACCGCTTCATATCTTTTGCGTAGTTTTAAAGATTTAAGCATACATAGGGACAGACATCTACAGCGACTTTGTTTTATACTTTGTAATGACAATGATTACCGCTCGACCGAATTTAAATAAATCCATCCATCGTGACCTCCAACTGCGTATACGGGTGAGTTGGGCCCTTCGCCTAAAACAGCTACGCCCAAACCGTGTCGGTGAGTGTTCATTGGCGCTAAGGTACTCCAGCTTAGTGAAGTTAAATCGAAGCACTCCACCTAAAATATACAACAAAATACACCTAAAAAATAAGATTTTCTTAATTATTTTTACTTAGAGGTCATAGATAAAATAAAAGCAAGTAATTCAATAATTTCATCAATTCATTTCATTCAATGGTTTCGATCACATTAAACAAAATATTAAGTGAAATTAGTACTAACTATTCCATGGACTCATACAATTTAGCACAACTGTGAAATAAATAAGAGAACAACGGACCATGGCTTATTACTCAGACTAATACACTAAAAATAATTAGTATTATTTATTTTTTAATTGTATTTTCGATTAGGATTTGTTTTCATATGAAAACAAATTTATTTGAGTGGCGGTGGTAGGTTCATTTTTAAGTAATGTGGTTAGTTGGGGTCTGTTTTTCGGCCGTGTCGCACACAATTAATCTTATGATATGGCACGATGTATATTTCAAGATCTTATAATAATAATAACTCTTGATAATCCACACAACACCATCTAGACCCAAGCTAAGCAGAATTTGTGTTATTGGTACTAGACAACTGATAGATATACACATAGATATATATTTTTTGTATATATGTATTATACATAGAAAACACCCAGACATAACAGTCTGGGTGTTTTCTTGTACAGTGCGAATTAAATCCGCGACAATCGGAGACAAAGCGGTGTGTTAAACCGCTAGACTACCCGATTACACTGTACCGTAGATTAGACAGTTGAAACATGTCTTAATGATACATGGATAGATATAAAGAGATAACTAGTTTAGAAAATATCTTACCGTATTTAATGTTTTAAGTCCATCTCTGCCACCAACTACAATTAACTTATTTTGCATTACTGCAACACCAAACTGCAGCCTTCTAGCACCCATTCTCATAAATGGAGTCCATGTGTCAGTCCTCGGGTCATACATTTCCATATTACTAGCACCCTATGGAATAATTATATAAAAATAAAAAATATTTTTTTAATATTATGTTATATCATTATAGATCGTTGTTTGCTTCAGATGGATAACGTAATAATAAATATAAGTTTGATAATACCTACCTTATATCCATCCATACCTCCAACAGCTAATAGCCGCCCTATAGTTGACGTCCGAGGCCTGGTTCGGTGTGACAATAGAAAAGATCTGCGTTCAGGCAATAAATGCCATTTTACTGCTTCCATGAGTAAGGGTTGACACTCAGGTACATTACCACATGCTAATTCCACTTTGTCGATAAGATACTGTAGAAAAAAACAATGTTACAATAGTTTAGTCATGGAATGGAAAACACAATCAAGATTTAATGGGAAAAATATATATTTGTAAGCAACATTTAAATGCGAAGAACACTACTATAATATATAAACAAAACTGTAGTGAATTTTTAATATCAAAATACTTTTTGACAAATAGTTTTTTTTTTGTTTACATATTTATAGAACCCTTATTTCAATAATATGAGTAAAGCTTGATATAATATGTAGTAGATATATATAGATACTAGTATAAGGATACATATACATATTTAATTAAACATACAAATTTTAAAAATATTTCTTTCATAAAAACTACTAGGTATCACTTAGGTACATATTACTGTGCTTAGCATTGATTTCAACAAAGTACTTTATGTAATCATCTTTTCTATGATATAGTAAGAAAAGAACATATAGAAAAGACAGAATATGATACAGTTAAGTCATCAGAGGTAATATATACATTAAGTAGAATAAGAGCTCTTACCTCAGACGACAATAACGGTAATTTAATCAGAGTCAGCAGGGATGGCAAATTTGCCTCCCTATTAGAGCTATCATGTTGCACCCATGTCATCAGACTTTCAAATACATTTTCTTCAGTAACAACGTTGAGATCATCTGATTTCAGTAGGCTAGCTAACTGGTCAGCTTGTAAAGACAAAAACTCTTGGTGTTTCACCACCTACAACATACAAATGCAAGGAAATAAAACATTTAAATTTAATACATATTTATAGGAATAATCAGCTTTGCTTGCGAAATGAACAATTCCTTTCAATCATTTTATAACTATACTACATATATATTGATCTTCTTCTACATGTATTATATATTCAGTATTACATATTTTTCAAATTTTTTTATTGGGGGAGGGGAGAAAGCAAAATATTATTGTTAAGTGTGTTTGAATATTGCATAGAAACAATTTTAAGTAAACAATTTCGATTTCAATTTGTCTAATGGCCGCTGCTATATTAACTGATGATGTGATTTTAGATATTGATTTGTCCTATGCCAATTAATAATATTCACCAATTATATTATTACTGAATAAATTTTGCTCATGAGTTAAATATCAAGCAAAGTATGTGGTCCTGATTAGACCTGACAACTCTTTGTTTTAGTATTCAGGGTTATTTTAAATAGCAACTGAGAAATCAACTTATCCATTCGCAATATTCATAAGATACCAGATCATTAATATTCCATCTTATAAAGGGAAAGGCAGGGGAAAAAGTGATACTTTCTATATCTGGCTTAGTATTTATATATATATATCTTGTACACTTACAATAAGCTATGTAAGGAACCATTTAGCTTCTATATGGGATTCAAATGTAACAATATCAGCTTGGAGGTTTTTTGTATTCTGAATATTGTGAATACCTTTAGAATTTACATAAATATAGTAAAAAACAGTGACTGCAAAATTGAACCCTCTGCCATGACTGGTACATATGTATATTAACTGTTTATTTCATACAGAAAGAAAGAAAATAGTTTATTTGGTACATATTTACATATAATAACATTGTAAAGCCTAGGGTGCTATATCCTCTCCCAGCAATCACTATTGTGAGTTTCTACACAAGTATTGGCTTTGGAAGCTATTTTTCTTGTACCTTAATCCTTAATAATCTGATAAATGTAAAAGCATGTATTTTTGTTACTCTTTCATACAAAAACTACTACGGATTTTGATGATACTTTATATATAATATAGCTAACTATATATAGAGTACCACAATTTATATATTAAAATTTAATGCAGATGAAACTGCAGGCACAGCTAGTATTATATAATGAAACACCTTTACAATGTCAAAAAATACAGTATTTAGCAGGTTTCAATATAATGCATTGCTGGAGGCTAAAATAAATGGGTTAATTTTAGGACTGCAAAAGCTTAAATTTTAGAATATTTTAATATATAAATGAAGATAACCTGCATATAATGTTGATATGTGTATTCTAAAGCACTTTTGTGTAAGTTCATACAAGACTGTTGTTCAGCAAACAGTGCAATACCTAAACAGTTACATGGATCAAGTTGTTTATTTAAAAATGCACAACATGCATCTGTTACAGAATTTAATTGTAGTAAGCTTGCTGTTGACAGAAGCACTTCCACAGTTTCCTCTCTTAGATCTGTAAAGAAAATATTATATTATTACAGAAAATTATGTTAAATCTTAATTCCAACAAATAGTAACAAGGATAGAATAGATATATTAGTAGATGTGCACTATATCAGATCCAATCTCCACTCTGTCACATTCAAAACTATTGTGATTAAGTTCTAGTCAATTTGTTACAATGGGCTAACTGGCTAGATTGATTTAATTTCTAATAGTACCATTTTTAAATAATAATAGTATTATATTTATGATAAAAACACATACAAATATGCATGCAGTGGACATTATTTGTTAATTATCAACAATAAATTATTATTCAATGTATACATTAAAAACTTACTTATATATCACATATTTTACTTTATAAGTTGATATATTCACTGTGCTTTCTAGAAGAAAAATGTACTTATAAAAATATTACAACTCAAAATAATCAAATGGTGTCTATTCCCATTAGTTATAGTTATCTGCTATAATTATTCCTTGTAAATTACCCCTGCCCATGGATATGTAGTTGTGAGTCATTGAAAACTACAATCTAATCACCTTTGGATTCTTCTTGACATCTTGCTTTTATTTAAACATTCATATTTTCTACATACTTAAACGAAACATCCTAAAAAATATTAAGAAAAGTATAAATTAATAACATAATAATGACACCTACCTATAGTTCCTGTGTAACAGTAGCGAACAAGAGCTTGTAGTGCCTGTGAATCAACTCTCTCTAAAGTTATTTCTGTTAGTTGGGCTTCTCTTAATGAACCAGTAAACATAGCTGCAAAGTATTCACTACAGGATGCCAACATTACTTTGTGAGCTGGAATCCTAGTGTCAGTAATATTGTATATTAGTACTTATAAACATTATTCTACACAGTAATTTACCTGACACAATTTTTTTTGTTTAATAGTCTGTGACCTCAAGATTAATAGGCCAGATGTGGAATATTCACATACTGATCTAAGTAGTTATCATTTTTATTACATTATCAGAATGTAATTAAAGACTGACTGTACATATGACTAAATTTGAGCAAGGACTTTTGACCCAAGAAACCTTTCATCCTACTACTTAAATTTTCCATAAGCAAGACTTATACTCGATATTTATTTCAGAATATGGGATATACAATTACTTTCAAGTTATTTCCTTTGTTGTACAGAAATTCTACCTTCCCCTAATTCTGTATTTGATATAATTTTATTTGATTATTTTATTTTTTTAAAGATGGTTACGAATACAATAAAGGATACAAATCGTTTGGTTAATGTTTAATCAGGACGTGATTTAATTATATTCATATATATATAATAATAAATAATACCTACCTGCAACCCCCGGCAATGAGAGCTACGTCACATAACTTCTGAGCCTGAAAATACTGATAGATATTTTTGAGAGTATTATCAGAATGTCCTTTATCACAATAACATTCATCCTGGCTGGAGGCACTGGACAGACTTAACTGGCTGAGTTCTCGTGGCAGTCCCTCATCAATAGACGTTGTAGAAATATTGTCTTTCGAACATTCAGGTTTCTTCGAATCACAACCAGACATGATGTCAATAAGTACAATAAATAATTAAGGTACCTTCAAAGAAAAATTGGTGATTATAATAAGTAAATAAAAAGTTAGTACAACAAAGAATATCATTCAATATCAACAACTTCAAAGACAAAGAAATGTCATGTGTCACTTAGAAAATGTGTCAAATCACAAGCAGACATGGCTGTACGAATATAGATCTCTTTGCCTTTCCTTCATGGATACACAGAACCAAAAAAAGGCACTGGCGATGGTTAGAGGAAAATTTTGTGGGAATCAAGATCACAGAACACCAATATCCAATCAAGGTAGACCCTGTATTTTGGGGAATTTTTGTAAATATATTGGGAAAAAATCAGCCAAACAAATGGCGACACTTACCGTTTCTGTCAAATGAAAATCTATTTAAATGTAATATACTTAATGCTATTTAAACAATTAAAAAACTATTTTATTGTCAAAGAGTAATTTATTGATATAATTTCCAATTTAAGTGTGAATGTTTTGTTAATTTATTATTAAGACTACATCTATATTCTAGTTGATTTTTATATTGTGATTAAACACCGAAATGGAAGGCGATGGTTCTGATACATCAAATACAAAATCATTTTCTGGGATTCCTAAAGCTGTATTTGTAGTAAGTATATATTTTATTGATAAGTAATGTATTTCTATTGTATTTTAACTTAAAATTACGCAGTTGAAAGGGATATTTCGGTAAAGGTATAAACTATTTTTAGGTTAATGGAAACTGTACACCTGTCCGTAATTTTTCCCTTAACAGTTTAATCTTTATATCTGGTGATCTGAAATACATCTCATACTTCCTTTATTTCATAACTTATCTGCACATTAGTTCTGGATACTTTGATACCTCCATCAAACAGCCTATGATCATATACCGGTACCAGACTTTACACTGTCATAGTGAATATCTATTTTAGCAATTTTTCATTCTTTCCACATATATGCCTGTAAATATATAGGAGTAACGTGTTTAACACGTTAATCGCCACGATAATCTTATAAAAAATTTCACATGGGCCATGGTAGCTTTATTAGATAATTTAGTTAAAAATGTATCAAGGAAACTTAATGTATTACAGAAATTTGTTTTTGGTTTGCCAAAATTCCCGGAAAAACACTATTTTTTATGTCACATATATACAACTGACACAGGCCTATATTAAAACTTTTCTTAACAAGCCGTGTCAGTTGTTATATTACTGAGATTCATTTATTTCATTTTATTGTTTGTATTAAGCTAAGAAATTTTCAGGTTTTGTTCTTGATAGGCTAAGCTTTCGAAACTTAATGCAAATGTATTGTTTGTGTCAGATATCTGTGTCATATATGTTAATATATATTTAAGGCATATATAGCCTTAAATATAATACAAAATTAATATTAAAATTATTTCATTATTACTCAAGTTATTTATTGACATACAATGTTAATAAGTAATACATTACTTGATAATACTAGCCACTTTGTTTTCATATTTTTAAGAAGTATATTAGTTTGTACAAACATTGTTGTGTTTAACTGTCTTAACTGAAAATCAACTAAAAATGCATCTTTATATAATCTCTCAAAGAAACATAAAAAGAGGATTGCTCATATACTTATGTGTAAATGGCTGTATATTTTGCATTTTTAACCAATTTGACATACATATGAATTTTCAGGATTTAAAATAAAACAAGAAAATGAACTCTTCTTTCCATCTTTTTGTATGTATGAAAAATCATGGTGGTAATTTTTAAAATTTAAATGTAGTTGGAGTGCTACTTATTGTTCAACATACAATGTAAACGAAATTAATAGTGTGCATTTATCTTCTTCAATTATATAGCTAAGTCAAAGAACTAATGTGTGGATAAATCTTATCTTATTAGTGGATATTATGTTTCATATGTGTGAAACCAAATCCTTTGTAGGGTGAAATTAGGCAGTGATATACAGAACAAGAAGAAGAAGAGGCATGACATCTTAGTCCTCTAAATTGACAATGTTTGAGACATGGTAATGTGATGTCCATAACACCATTCATGTATATAGGTAATGGTTACTGCTTACCAGTGAGCTGTAAGAATGAATGTCATTCCAATCACATAAAAAAAAATTAAAAAGATAGCTATAGGTTGATGTTTTATGTATAGTATTTCTTTACATATTTCTTAATTTCTTTTACAGGATAATGTAGATGAATTTATGAATCTACCTGAAAATTCTGGTGGTGTTGACAAAGTGCTAAGAAGGCTTGATGAACAACATGCCAAATACAAGTATATGGAACACACTTTGGCTATTAAGAGGAGACGTCTAAGGCAACAAATTCCAGATTTATCTAGGTCACTTGAAATGATAGAGAAGTTAAAAACACAAAATACAGACATAGAAGCAAAGTTTTTACTTAGTGAACAAGTATTTGTTAAGGTAATAGGGAGTTAATTTTGTTTAAATGTCCCATTATGAAATTTCTGTTTTAGACTTTTATATAATTATATATTGCAGGCTAATGTGCCAGCAACAAATATTGTGTACTTGTGGCTTGGAGCAAATGTTATGTTAGCATATTCTTTGGAAGATGCTGAAAAATTACTCTCATCAAACATGGCAACAGCAAAGAAAAATTTGGAATGTATTGAAAATGATTTAGATTTCTTACGGTAAGAAACAATTTTTATTTCTGAATGTATCTTTGATATCTATACTGATATTATAGAGACTTTTCCACTCTATTTTTATACTAGGCTTGTCTGATTCGCAATTTCTCTCTCTTATCATATAGATGCTCCTCTTTACAAAATCATTCAAGAACTATATATGCCTACTGTAAAGAATAGAATCAAGAACTATATTTTTAAACTATGTTTACTTTACTGAATTGGCATTGGTTTTTAGACAGATGACAGTGTAAACCTTTGCAGTTTTAATAATATTTATTTATATTGTGTGAAAATAATTAATAATTAAATTAATCAAATCATGTTTCCTTTTTTTCTGCAGTGATCAATGGACAACAACTGAAGTGAACATGGCCAGAGTTTACAATTGGGATGTTAAGAAAAGGCAGGCTGCTAAAGCATCTAGTTAATTACTACTTATTTTCCATTGAGCTATGCTTTTCTTCCTCAATAACAAATGTTTAATTAAAATAAAACAGTAAAATTGAAAAGCAATAATATACAGAGTTGCTTTTAGTTATATTTTATATTAACACAACAACCATATTGAAAGTAATAAAAATAAAGTATTTGTTTGAATTTTTAGAGTATAAATACCATGCCTATAATTTTACTCTCATGTATAACCAATTCCAATAACTGAGACAGGCTTCTACGCTGATGACACTACAATAAATTCCATTGTGCCCACCCGTATATGAATTACCTTCTCTCATCTATCGCTAGAATCACCTAGATATCAATTAGGTTCTTTTGACTCCAAGCAAAGCATAGTTGTACATAATCCAGATCTTGTAGGTGGTGTCGAATTCCTTAGTTTGCTTGCTACTACGTCTTGTTTATTGTATTCTATAATTACTATACAAAGGATGTCAATCCTTTGTATAGTAATCAGTTGAGTGTGGTAGTCTAGTTGTACACTGCCCTGAATTACACTCGAGATATTGTATATTTAAATCTGGCAGATCCAAAAAAAACTGTTTCTCAATGTATGGTATGCTGACGATAGTACTATTTCAGATAGGTACCTTAATAGTAGTGCCGGGGGGGCAGAGTTGAATTCCCAACGTCAGAGTTTGATTCGGCGAATAGATCAGAAGCTACAGACGGTATCTGACTGGGGTGATGCTAATCTCATGAGATTTAATGCTACAAAAACCCAAGCTTGTCTTTTTTCCACTAAAAAGAACCCCTTTAACCTATCTCCAACTTTTCGAAATGCATCTGTCCCGGTTTCTGACCATCTCGATCTTCTAGGTTTAACAATATCATCCAACCTAAATTTCGGGGCATATATTGAATCTAGAGCTAAAACGGCATCAAAAAAACTGGGCGCCCTCTCAAGGGTTAGGAGATACTTCACGCCTGGACAGCTTTTAACGCTATACCAAGCACAGGTCCGATCTTGCATGGAGTATTGTTCCCACTTATGGGATGGATCCGCTCAGTACCAACTTGACGCTCTAGACTCAATCGACAGACGAGCAAGGAGACTTATCGGGGACGAATCACTTGTAGCTAAGAGGCTTCAAAGTCTTAATCACCGACGTAAAGTAGCTTGTCTATCGGTGTTCTATAGGCTCCATTTTGGCGAATGTGCTCAAGAACTGCACAACCTCATTCCTCCAGCATCGTTCCATCAACGCACAACAAGACGTAGAGAGCGGCTCCACCCCTACACTATTGACATCCCAGCTGCTCGAACTAACCGTTTTGCATCATCTTTCCTTATGCGAGCAGCTAAGGAGTGGAACTCTCTACCAGCGTCTATTTTTCCTGCCTCTTACAACATTGGGTCTTTTAATTCAAGAGTGAATAGGTATTATTTGAGCTTGCGTGTAACAGCTTAGACCACATCATCACTTAACATCAGGTGAGATTGCGGTCAAACGCGCTCAAATTATGATATAAAAAAAAAAATGTATGTTTAATATATATATGTGATGACTGAAAATTCGGTGAAGGAAACGCAATTATCAAATAATAATAATTCGAGAAACGGCGGTAGGCACTTCTTTTTTTTCTAACGTGTGGAAAATCTTCCTAAGACCGTCGTCCGGTCGGAGGAATGGCGAGGCGATCTGTGGTATTTTTACCCACTAACAACCACAAGCGCGGCCCGCTTTGTAGATTTTGTGTAGATCCCGATGTGGTAAGGGGAACTATTTCGCCACATTCTGTTATGAGAGGCGTGTGGGTAAACGTGTACACCTTCGGGCCTATTTTAATGGGGGACTACTTCCCTCAAGGCAACCAGGCAGCTCCAGCCCCAGTGGGGGAGAGTTGGGTACGCCTCTACCTCGAAGCCTGACTATACTGCGGCGGACTAGGTAAGCGAACGAACTGATTCTCGCTCCATTGCCGCCGTCTTCTACCGCGACATAACTGTCTCGCAGGAGCTCATCATTGGATTCAAATTTCATATATATAATAAAGTACTCTGTGGATTCAAATATGCCCAGCGACTTGTGGGTACATCAAGTCTGTACACATCGATAGTATAATATTGACAGTTAAATCCTCAAATTGAATAACAAGTAAAATTATATAAGATTTCTATTGACAATTATTACAAAGAAAAACGAGAATATTTTCTGAAGTGAAACGGTTATAGTTCTGTTAATTTCCGTTATAATTGTATTAATGACTGTACTCGGCGAAGACAAATCTTGTATCTCTGGGAATACGTGATTCCAGGGTTGGTAGGACTGCTTATTAAAAAAACACGCTTGTAACAAATGGATCGTGGGATAATGGAAATGACGTATACGTACATATAACTAATCCTTACTCCTTACTAATATTATAAATGCGAAAGTAACTCTGTCTGTCTGTCTGTCTGTCTCGCTTTCACGCCAAAACTACTGAACCGATTTAAATGAAATTTAGTACGCAGATAGTCTAGACGCAGAGGAAGGACATAGGCTACTTTTTAATGCGTAAAAAGGGTTGTAAGGGGTTCAAAATGGAAATACAAGGTTATCTTTATGCGGTTGAATCCTTATTCGTCTTTTCATTTCACTAGCTAACAACCAATCAACACATCGCGTGCGTTTGCGCCAATAAGGTATCCATCACAGAGAACAAAACCACAGATAACATAATTTAAAACGAAAGATCTTGCCGGAAACATGACGTTGACGTTTAGTGAAAATATTGTTTTTTGACACTTTTTTATGATAAAATCGTATATCGTGTGTATGTGTTTTTTCTTTAAACCTGAAATTGGCCGATTGCGAGACAAATTTGACGATTTTTTTTATTAATTTGTTTTACGGCTCTGGATACAAGCCCAGTTTAGCCCAACTTAAAGTTTTACAATATAAATTACAAAAATTAAAGTCAATGTCCAATGTTAAATAATAATAAATGTCAAATGTTGTTTCCCTGTTCTGACAAACTTAAAAAAAAAATTTAATAACAATCACAATTTCTTCACATTTTATTATTTACATTTTTTAAAGAATGTTGTGGTGTGGCACTATCCGAAATTAAATTATTTACCCATTTTTGTAGGTTATACAGAAATAATGTGTGGGTGTTTATTTAAAAAGCATTAACACAAAATTAATAAAATATAGGTATTAATAAATATATGGTTGTTGTATCAAAATAGAATTTTCTTATTTTTCACTAAAATAAAAACTAACTGTCTTTTTTATAAAATAAATGACCTTTTCATTGTGCCATATATTATGGAACTATTTAAATTATTTAGCTGACTGTAAGAAACAAAATGTTGGTTTGTAGATTAATACTGTAAAATTATTATTTGTACGGAAACGATAAAAATATATTTTTGTGCTGCGACAAAAACTAATATTATAAATGTGAAAGAAACTCTATCTTTCTGTCTCGCTTTCACGCCAAAACTACTGAACCGATTTGAATGAAATTTGGTATACAGATAGTCTAGACCCTGAGAACGGACATAGGCTACTTTTTAATGCGAAAAAGGGTTGTAAGGGTTTAAAAGGGGGGATGAAAGATTGTATGGAAGAATCGTCATTTTTGAAGCTAGAAGCTTGAAACTTATTTTTGAGACTGTTGATTAAATATAAATAAAAATGACATTCAATGTTTGCAAAAATTACCCTTAAGGGGGTAAAATAAAATAGGGGATGCAAATTTTTATGTAAATTCGTCATTTTTGAAGCTAGAAGCTTAAACTTACTGTTGAGACTGTTGATTAAATATAAATACATATGACATTCATTGTTTGTAAAAAAATTACCCTTAAGGGGGTAAAATAAAATAGGGGATACAAGTTTTTATGTAAACACGTCATTTTTGAAGCTAGAAGTTTGAATCTTATTGTTGAGACTGTTGATTAAATATAAACATATATGACTTTCATTGTTTGTAAAAAAATTACCCTTAAGGGGGTAAAATAAAATAGTGGATGCAAGTTTTTATGTAAACACGTCATTTTTGAAGCTAGAAGCTTGAATCTTATTGTTGAGACTGTTAATTAAATATAAATACATATGACATTCATTGTTTGTAAAAAAAATACCCTGTAAAAATAACTAGTATCTCCCATTGCTAACAATGTATCATGTTTGGTCGACCTCCACCTGGTTCCCCTCGGAAACCATCGTGATGAATTCTTGGTGAATTTGTCACGATGGGCTAACTGCGTGTGGTGTCGCTGTAAGAATAGCACCACCCCCTCTCTTCCCGTGGGTGTCGTAAAAGGCGACTAAGGGATTCATCGACCAGTGGACGGGCAGCAGCGTTCTATTGAGTAACTACCATCATACTGCGATCGCCAACCCGCATGCCAAGCGTGGCGATTATGGCAATATCCCCCCAAATGGATTTACACCCAAGGCCCCGGCCCCCAGTCCCCGGCGGCCCCGCTAGTCTTGACCATGGTAGCGGTCATGGAAACGGCGGGGCAGGGGGTGCGAAGAATCTCCGGGTAAGACCAGGCTACCACAAACGACGACCACTGGCCCTGGCAACATACAACGTTCAAACACTGCGGACCGACGAAAAGCTAACTGAACTGGAGGAAGAGTTGAGCAGATTGCACTGGCATGTCGTGGGATTATCTGAAGTCTGAAGAAAGGGGGAGGCCTCGATACTCCTGAAATCCGGCAATCTGCTTTACTTCCGGGAGGGCGATCAACTGTCCAAAGGCGGTGTCGGGTTCTTCGTCCACAGGTCCCTTGTGAATAATGTTATTAAGGTCGAGAGCATGTTGACTAGGGTAGCGTACCTGATACTCAGAATTACCAAACGGTATTCGTTGAAGGTCATCCAAGTGTACGCTCCAACTTCGACGCACTCCGACGATGAGGTTGAGGCTATGTATGAGGATATCTCCAGAGCCATACATAGTACAAAGACTCATTATAGCGTTATCATGGGGGACTTTAACGCAAAATTGGGCAAACGAAGCGGTGATGAGCTGAGAGTGGGGCAATTTGGTATCGGTGATCGGAACTTCCGAGGTCAAATGCTGGCCGAATTCATGGAGAAGGAGAGCCTCTTTATTATGAACTCCTTCTTCAGGAAGCCGGAACACCGGAAATGGACGTGGATTAGTCCCGATGGTGCCATAAAAAACGAGATAGATTTCATCTTGTCAACGAGAAGACAGATTTTCAATGATGTCTCTGTGATCAATGCCGTCAAAATTGGAAGTGATCACCGGATTATAAGAGCCACATTGAATCTGAATCTGAAAATCGAACGATCCCGACTGATGAAATCTACGCTCCGCCCTACACCTATACAAATCCAAAACCCTGAAAGCTTTCAGCTAGATTTGCAAAATCGTTTCGAATGCCTTGGTGACTGCGTTGACGTGGACGATTACAACAACAGGTTCGTGGAAACTGTCCGTGCGGCTGGGTCTAAGCACTTCAAAACCCGCCGCGCAGAAAGAACCGGAAAAATATCTATCTCTACCCTCAAACTGATGGATGAAAGGCGAAGTATAGTCCTGCAGTCTCCGACTGACGCTTCCCAGTATCGGCAACTTAGCAGGCAGATCTCTAAGTCCTTGACTCGAGACTTACGCCACTTTAACACAAATTGTGTAAAGGAGGCTATTGAGAGAAACAAGGGCTCAAAAGTCTTTAACAGGGATCTGGCTGCCGGACAGAGCCAGCTGACGCGACATAAGACGGATGACGGCAGGATCGTATCGTCTAAACCCGAACTTTTGAGGGAAATTAAGAAGTTCTATGGACAGTTATACACGACAACACGGACACCTGTTAACAACACGGCGAAAGACCCTAGAGCCAAATTAACCCGACACTATACCGAAGATATCCCGAACGTCAGCCTGTACGAGATTGGTATGGCTCTTAAACAACTTCAAAACAACAGGCGCCGGGCGATGATGGAGTTACTGCTGACCTTCTGAGGGCTGGAGGTAGACCTGTTTTACGAATCTTCCAGAAGCTATTCAACTCCGTCATCCTCAAGGGCAGAACGCCTCAAGCATGGCAAAGGGGTGTGGTGGTTCCGTTCTTCAAGAAGGGAGACAAATCTCTTCTGAAGAATGTCAGACAAGGCGATGTCATATCGCCAAAGCTGTTTACCACTGCGTTGGAAGATGTCTTCAAGCTTCTGGACTGGAGCGGGCTGGGCATCAACTTTGACGGCGAGTACATCAATCACCTTCGATTTGCCGACGATATCGTGGACATGGCTGAGACCCTGGAAGACCTTAGCAAAATGCTCGAAGACCTCAGTAGAGTCTCACAAGGAATAGGTCTTAAAATGAACATGGACAAGACGAAAATATGTCAAACGTCCATGTCGTACCTGCTTCCGTAAAAATCGGAGATTCTACACTCGAAATTGTCGATCACCACGTATACTTAGGGCAAACTATTCAGCTAGGTAGATCCAATTTCGAGAAAGAGGTCAATCGTCGAATCCAACGGAAAGCTCCGATATATCTTTTCGTCCAAATTTCCGCAGTGTCTCAAGACGAAGGTTCACGACCAATGTGTGTTGCCAGTGATGACTTACGGAACAGAGACGTGGTCGCTAACTATGGGCCCAAAAATAAGCTCAGAGTCACTCAGAGGGCAATGGAGAGGGCTATGCTCGGAGTTACTCTGCGTGATCGAATCAGAAATGAGGAGATCCGCAGAAGAACCAGAGTGACCGACATAGCCCGAAAAATTGCGACTCTAAAGTGGCAATGGGCAGGGCACATAGCCCGTAGGACAGATGGCCGTTGGGGCAGTAAAGTCCTCGAGTGGCGACCACGGACCGGAAGACACAGCGTGGGAAGGCCTCCAGCAAGATGGACCGACGATCTGGTCAAGATCGCTGGAAGGCATTGGATGCGAGCAGCGCAGGACCGATCGTCGTGGAGATCTTTGGGGGAGGCCTATGTCCAGCAGTGGACGTCTTCCGGGCTGCGATGATGATGATGATGATGATGGGCTAACTGACCTAACCTAATGCTTATCTTGCCATCCACCACTGGTGCCCTGCCAGCGTAGGCGGGTGCACCATTCCATTATCATACACTAAAAAAAAACCGGGCGCTCCAAACTAGGCCCCCCAATCGCCCCTCTGATCGATCCTCCGTCCAAATCACACGAGGATCGAAATTACGACGGTCTGAGCCAAGATTCGAACCCCTAACGGTGTTTGATATCACATGGATTTTAGAATTAGAAAAAAACATTTAATCTTACACTGCTTGTAATAATACTATATTTTGACCTGCGACGATATTTTCCTATGATAAATATCGACATCAGAAAACTTCAATTTAGAGTGTTGTTCAATTCAATTTAGTGTTGGTATTTTTTTTTGTTTTGCCAGTTGGGTTTTTGTTAGAGCGCAAGGGCTTATTGACGGACCGCAGGGGATTATTTCAAGTATAGTATATTATCTATGGGTTTATTAAAGCATCCGACTTTTTCGTTCTTTTTTTAAATGTGATAGAGAATATATTATCGATATACCGACTTCATCGAAAACTTAATATCGATGTTTTTCGACTATGATCGATGAACGCTTGAGCCGACATCTCTAATCTGTCATAAGTAAATACTGAATTTCTAACAAAATTATAGCTTTTCAATCAAAGGGTTTGATATTGTAAACCGTTTTAAGGTATGTATATAAATTAATTATGTTTATAGAAATTGAGCTACTCAATTCAATATGTTATTTTGTTGATATAATTTATATGCTTCCAGGTGAAATAATTGGACGTGTACGGCTACGCCCAGTTTCGTATTTTCCCCGATTGTTTGATTGTGTTCAACATAGGCCTATCAGATACTGCCGTTATGGATATGATGGTGTCAACGTTGCAACAGCAGCGTGCTGTTACAGAACAGTTGCGAAGGGAAGCTGCCATTAAGCGTATTCCTGTCTCTGTTGCTGTAGCTGACATTGTAAAGTACATCAATGAACATGAACAAGAGGACTGTTTACTTGTTGGTTTCTCAAGCCAAAAAGTAAATCCCTTCCGTGAGAAGAGTTCTTGCACTGTTCTATAAAATTTATGTATATTTATGTTGATGTCAAAAGTTGAAAATTGAATATTATCACATCATTGCATTAGTAAATAACTATACATAATATAAAATTCAATAATATGAAATGTATAACTTGTCAGGTCTGATTGACTGACCTGAATTGAAACATCTATGGGATAAAATATTACCTGCATTGTTAAAATTTATTAAACCCACAATATTTATGTCATATAGCACAGTTGTCTTTTTAAAGTGCTTATATTTCGATTCTGTATTATATTGTAATATGTCAAATCATACTATTTTGAGGTGTCCAATTGGAGGTTTACTTATAACTTTTAAACTATGTGTTTTACAGTGCTACAGTATATAAATATTTTCATTACACAATACAAATTAATGAAATATATTTGGTTTTATTTGTAGAATTGTTCCCTGTGTGCTGGAATTAAGTAATGCAGTAACCATTCTATGTTATGTCCACACTACTTTAGACCTATTTTATGTAATTATACATTCCTCCTGAAGATACAAATGAAAATGTGCTAAGTATAACAACTATGATTATTTTAGTTTTCTTCATTCTTAAAATGTCTGTAATAAATGTAATGTTACAAATGCCATATATATAAATAAAGATTACTTACAAAATCCACAGTTTTAGTAAATTCCCGAATCGAGCTTTCCAAACTGAATGAAATTTTTACTCTTAACTGGATGGTTTGGACACAATAGTGATAAATATTAAGTGTCTTATATACATGTATAGATTGTGGGAACCATCAGGCAGAAATTAAATTAGGACTACTTACCATTTTAACTAAAATGTCTTTAATAAAACCACAAATGTCTGCTAATAAATATTATTGTGCAATAAAATAAAAAATATCAAATCCTCTACTGGTATTATAAAGCGAAACAATTCCATATATTAGTATCATAATAAAGAATATTAATTCGAGACAGTGGGGAGGTTCCCCACTGGCACATATTTATTACCAAATATTGCCATCTCAAGTTTTACATTGTCCTTCATATAGACAGTTTACAAGAAAACACACTTGCTTACCTCATCTGGGATTACAGTAATGAGGATATGTATGTAACCATGTTGGAGATATTAAATTTGTTATTCTTACAATTACATATGTTATATTTAATGCATATGTTGAGATACATTAAAAAATAAAATTAATCAGAGCTGCAAAAGAATTTCCATTACAATTCAGAGTTTACAAATGAAAATTTTGTAGTTAATTCAGATTTTTTTTTTAACATATTTGTATGCAATATTTTTGCTACATTCTATTGTACACTGAAACCAATAAAATGGATGTGCAACAAACATTAATATATTTGATAAAGTGCAATTAAGAATAACAAACAAGCAATTTGCAAATATGTTAAGTAAAACAGAGTAAAACTAGCAGTGAAAATAGGTTACTACATGTGAAAGGCAAATGTTATATGTGTATTACTGATATATTATCTGTACAAATTAAGTTTATATATATTTTTTTATGTATACTTAAAAAAATTTAATAATAAAAGACAACAGTTACATGGCCATCAAATCTTAATAAAATCAATGTGAGAAAATAATATTATACTTTAAATATTAAGATTCTCATTCATATCACAAATCCTAATATTACAGTCCCACAATATTATGGATTAGGAATAGCAATGCTCACATTTCAAACTATGGCAGTGGAATTGAATAGCAAATAACTTATACAGTAATGGTTTGAGCAATTTGGAATGAAAACAAGTAATCTTATGCTAGGGGTAAAACTATATAAAAAAAATAAGTTTACCAACTATCAGTCTTTTGAATTGATGTTGTTTATCAACCTTGTGGCAATTTGTTACTCAAAATTTTACAGAAACAGAATAAAAAAAATTACTCACATCTAAATAAAGAATTTCTTTAGATCTAAAGTCACTATTCTAGTTAGACTTTAGATCTTTACTATTCATAACTATTATCGCATAATGTATTGTTTTACAGAAACAATATACAGTACATTGAATTAATTTACAGGAAAACATTATTTCCATTGAAACAGGTAAATGGAAGATGTTTATTATATCAAATAGAACATCAATGTCTTCATTGTCTAAGTAATCTTACAGTGATAGCCACAGCATATTACAATACTTACATACACAATTAATAAAAAAAAATCGAATAATGATCATAACAATATTTACCATTTAAAATATTGTCAATATATTTTGTGCCACATTGAGGAGATGATTTTATAAGTTAATAACAGAATTTTATTTTATATTTCATCATTAATTTTAAGCCATGAAGTCACTGCCCTAATTTTATTTTTTACTACAAATTGGTGTAGCACCTAGTTTATTTTTAAATATAAATCAATACCTTAAAAACTTGCATGTATAAATTTTACAAAATGACAGTAAAACAATTTTATTACTATTAAATATATAAATTATACAAATGAAGATCTAGACCACATCCTAATGATACTTATTTACTTAGGTATTACAATTAACTTTCAATTTCAGCTCATATTCATAAGATTGTCTTAAATAATAAGTAACTTAATACTACTTCATCACATACCTACCTGCTTATATTTTAAACATCCTAAATAATTATAGATTACGATCATATTGAATGTTTACACTAACTATTGTAATTCCAATAACTTTAATAATTTTAGTTATAGATTAAAATAAAAGATGAAATGGACCAAATATGAACTGAATCTACAAATTTTGTTGTCTATTATAAAAAAGGCCTCATTAATTTGGTGTATTTAAAAAAATTATCAGTACTAGATAAGTATCTATCCAATTGTCCTATTAAAATTTTGATAACACCTTGATTTGCAAATGGGAATATCAATTATTTTGTAATGTCATTCGAAAGATGTCAAGAGACATTCTTTGTAAACCTTTGTGACCAGTAATATCCCTTAAACAAATCAAGGATTATGCTAATAGGTTTCAGTACATGAATCCTGGTTGGTTATCATGTTGTTTTAAACTCTTTCTTGTTTTGGTGGTGTAACATCTTCAGTACCATTCGCAACACTTTGATGATACAACTTCAAAAGCTCCATGGCATCTTGTGCTTGACGTTTTTCTAGTAGTATCCTAAAATACAATTGTATTGTTATTTACTTTGATAAATTAAAACATACTCACATATTGAATCTTAATATGAAATTAATATTTTATATAAATACATGTCTAATGGGAACAAGTATTAAGAGGGATATCAGTGTTTTAATTAAGTTTGATTACCTTCCTGAGGCTTCTTTGATGTGTTCCAAAATGATCCTGTTATCCCTATCTGTCACTATATCAGCAAGACTGTCTGGGTCCATGTCTGAGAGTAATTCCAAGTCCTGTCCTCCAAGAAGAGAAATATGACAAAGATTGTGTTGTAAACGACCCACCAGGCTAGCAACTTGTCCTTTATCACCTAGTGTTACTTCATCTGTTTGATCAAGTGATACTTGGCACTTTGGCATGTTTGGGGCCCACTTTTCTTTACCATGTAATATCATAAGTGAAGTATCTGGGTCCAGAGTAGAAAAGTATTCTTCATCATCTACTTCAGTACCATCTGACTCTAGAACTACAGTCAGATTTTCAGCAGGTAAACCCAACTTATCGGGTACTTTAGTAACTAAATCTTCTAGAGATGATGCCACTACACCTTTTTTCTTCTCTCGATTTACATCACATATTTTATAAGGCTTTATAACATCGTTTTCCATTTTACGTAATTTTTTTACAAGATTTTATGTAGTAGTATTCTAATACAAATGGAATTACTAACAAATGAACGCCAGTCGCCAATGACTTAAATAAAGAACAAAATATCAATACAAAGAATAAGAATGACTTAAATTTTCAATTTGACATTTGGAAAATTATTGCCACATGCGAATAATATAATTATTTAGGTACTTTTAAAATTTAATTTGACGAATTGTATAGTTTAGTGGGCGATGTAATGGTTGAATTATTAATCGAAAAGATATTTTATAATGTCCCTTCAGAGACAAGTGCTTGCTCTGAACTCTAGAATATTACTCCCGCCGGCGCCGAGTGCCACCTACATGTATACCTTAAGCCAGTATATTTTGAGCAAGCACATGCCCTCACTAGTAAGTTCCTGTGGGCACAAGTACCAAGCTAGACAACAATACAAAGTTAAAGCTGACAAAAAGGCTAATCATTTTAGAGGTATATATAAGTTAATAATTTTTCAATGGTTCTTCTATGGATTTTCGAAATACTTACCAAGGTTGTTCATAACTCTTGTAGTGGAAGAGACGTATAATATTAATATATATTCTTATAATATTATAATATATGAAAATATAAGGATGGGTACCGTCTCACTTTTCCAATATGCAACTGTTTTTAAAATCGGCACTCAGGTACTTACATATCTATATTGTTTGGGATTCAACCGCGATTAATTTCGTAAAACTAAAATAACATAGTATTTTTGTACCTATTCATGAGTATGATTGTTTGTATTGGTCTGGGTGATGATTCTATGTATATTATGTACATATTTAAGCAAACGTGTACCTATATAGATTTTATATCTGTTGTATAGTACCTATAATAGAAGTTTAAGCTTTAGGTTGGGACTAGGTAGGTAAATGACAAACATTGCATTTAGCCTAAGTTATACAAAAAATCATAATTTAGATTCTGGTATACAACGCTAATTCCGAACTATTATAAATATACAATCTATCCAGGAACATCCTCTAGACGTATAAAAACTAAAATTACTTATTTGCCAGGTATCAATTATAGGTAACTGAGAACGGTCATAAGGGTTACGTTCGGTCAGTGTACGACGCGACAGACAAGATCAATATAATACGTTGAACCGTCCCTGTACCCACATTACAGAATATACATAAATGTACATTGGTAGCAGTTGCATAGCACTCTGTTGGAAACAACAGAGTGCTCTGCAACAAGTTTTACCTTTAGTTACTTACGAAGCCTTATTAACTTCTACAAAAAGATGAGAGCTATTTAAAGATTATTATTGAGTTTGATTAATATTTATTTATTAATATTTACTGTTTGATGCAGGCCTGACTAAACTAGATGAACTACACCTTTAGGTGTATTGTTATACTTACCTATAGTGTAACAAATTATGAATATTGAGTAGGTATAGTCGCCTTGTCACTGTGTCATAATTAATATCTAACGAGTTTTTGTTAAATGGTTTTGTCGCAAGGATCAGACTTTTAAAAATCGTTAATCTTTTGATACACCGTAGTTTGTTTAGTAAGTAGGTACCTTCCCACACAAATTCGACATTTTTTTCGGAATAGAATTCTTGAACTCTACAGTATTTTCTTGCCATAGGAAGAAACTCTCTTTTGGTTAGTAGTTCGTCTGGATCTATTTTTCTATCTATTAATTGAACGTACACAAACGGCCTCGGTGGTGTAGTAGTTTAGCATACCGCTTACTTTTGGTGGTCGTTGGTGCGATTCTTTGCACGGTACAAACATTTATAGTTATGAGTGTGATTGTTTGTATCGGTCTGGGTGTTTTCTACGTATATTATGCATGTGTTTATAAAAACATATCTTTGTGTTTACATCAGTTATCTAGCATCAATAACATAAGCTCTGCTCACCTTGGGACTACATGACGTTGAGTGATTTATCCAGGGGTAAAAAAGGTATGAATGAACGCGTTCGTCTTCTTTAAGAGCCTGCAGCTATATAGGTATAATATTTCTAAGGCTCTTCATGGTACGGCATCTAATTTATTTTGTAGAAAGTAAAGACATGTGGGTATACTGAAGAGTTAGATAAGCAAACGCAGGACTCGGAGGCATAATTTTAATAATCCGGAATGGCAACTCATGAGCGTTTCGGACGTCTCACTTACAATCTACGAACATCCCATGTTGACGTGTCGGTGGTCCCGTTCATGTACATAAATGGGCTATTATAACCAAGCACATTCAGCCTGCTTGCGATTTCAGATAAAAAAATTACCAAGATAAAAAATATATTTTGTAATAGCTGTTCCAGGTCAAAGTCGGTGTTCTAATTTAAAGAAATATAGTCAGTTATTGGAGGTAATCAATATTATGTACTTCATTAGGTTGTTAAAGTGTATACGTAAGTAGTATAAGTAAGTGATAACTTATTAACTTTATGAAAAATTTATTAAAAGAAACACATGGCATGAAATTACATTACACACTGCAGAAAAATATATAATACTACTAATCTAACAAAATTTTAATTTAGTTAGATTGTCATACTTAAATGCACTTAAAAAAATCTAACATTGTAGAATTTTAGGTACAGTCAGGATGCTATGGTGTATTCTCTACATACATACTTCATACATTTACAATACAAACACCTCCTACAATTCACATGAACGTAAACGACACTTTAATAAATAACATGAGAGAAGGTAACATATAGTAGAAAAAATTATATACTTTTAGTGCAGTAAGTACGGTACCAACCTACTAGCAAGCTTACTCACTACAGGTACAGGCGTACATAACAGAATATTTTTCTATATAAGTACGCTCTTTTATAGGTAGTTATTAGGGTTGTAAATACCGAATATATAGTATTGTAGATTATCTAACACTAACATTACGAACTATCTATTTAAATTATATGCATCTTAAAATGCTAAATAACAAACAAATTATAATAAACAGAAAAGCCAATATTTATATTTTTATTTTTTATTAAATGCGAAAATGGATTTTGTGCAAGCGTGTGGCTGACAGACTTAATTGAGCGACAACCGATAATTAGTACAGAAAAAATTGTCCATATTTATTTAGGGAGACGGTACCTAAATATTAAGATAACCAATAAAATACCCTTATTTATCACGTTTTAGGATAATTTAAACATTAATGCTATCAGGTAAATAATACAATACAAAGATACAGGAAAAGCACAAGCTTATGATGACCTTTAGCAATAAGACATTACTATTAAAATTACCACGATTCATTAACATGGATTCTGATTACAATTAGTACATAGTTAACATTCATTTTCATATTATGAATCCGACTGGAGAGTAGCATTTATAAATCAAGATAATAGCTTTAGACGACGATCCTCATTCACAAAAAGGGTCAAGCGTAGTGTAGGGGTTTAAGTTGAAAGCTATCTTCTTTTAGATAAGTTTATCCATGTATATAAACATACTGTGAGTAGTTACATCATTTTATTAACTATTATGAAATCGTGTTTAGGTATGAAGGAGGTCACCTAACTGATCAAGAAACTTGTATAAACTTAAAAGCTTTCATAGCAGCGTGAGCTTGTGTGGGAACCATAACTACTTTGAGCCAAATGACCAGGCCCTCATTTGGCAAGTGGTTAGGTACATTGTTTCATAAATTAATAATTGAATTACTGATGTGGGCGATATAATCATTTATATAATATAATGTACTTATAAAAGTATGGAGTATATGTGAAATGGCCTAGACGGACATTATTTTTGTATTTTAATATATGTAGCTATATCAAATAATTTATTATACTTTAATATTCTTTTAGAGATACGAGTATATATGGGTCCAAGATATATAGAATCTGTAGATAAAATAAATTATTTTAAACATAATTATTCGGTTCGCACATTAACAATGCTATTATGAATTTTTCTAAGCGTTAATGTAAGTTTTTTCACTTTAGTCAGTATATAGTCCTTCGTAGAGGGAGCGTGGCAGGTGTTCGGCTAGCAGGGACTTTAGTTTCTCTCTTGGTGAAACCGGTGTGTAGCGAGCCAGCGGAAAAGTTCGCGTAACGCCATCGCTCAGGGAGCGGGTCACAGCTGTCAGGTCTGCGTCCTAGATAATGCAAATTTTGTTAATTGTACAGATATATTAGTACAGAATAATTAAATTCTGAAGGAAATCTAATTTAAACCGCCGTATTGCTTATAGAAAATTATATATTACGAATAGCTGGTTTTGTCTTTGTAAGTAGTGATTTACCATATCAGTTGTAAAAGCATGTTGAGGCATTGTCAATTAAATTGTCAAATGCGCAAAGCATTGGCTTATTATTAGCTCTAGGTGGTGTTGGGTGTTAGTGTTTTCAGGTCTGTAGGTCAGGGTTACTAAACAAATAGGTTCGGCCTAGACGCCTTACAATGCAGACAAAGAATACTTAAATGTTGTCACACTGTTGATACTTACGGCGCTTTTGGTATATTTCTCGAGGCTACGAAGCGCCTGTTCAAAGTAGTCTTCGCCATAGGCTCCTTTCTGTTCATCACTCAGTCTTTTCCACATATCACGGGCTTGTTCTAAAAGTTTTTCTTCGGAAAGCCAGGCACTCCCTGTGGTATATTCACCAGCGGCTACTACTACCTATTAAATAAAATACGTTGTGGCATGATTTCAATTATGGAGCATTTACAGAAATTTCACTGAGTTTCTAATGTTTAATACTTAGTTAGTTGATTAACTGATTAGGGTTTAATCACAGACAGAACAAAGAAGCTATTTTGTGGGTCTAATAATAGAGTCTGTGCAGATATAACGACTTATACTATGTAGGGATTGTTTGTACATATATAGTTGATTATAATAATAATAAACATTACTAAACAGCTTTATTAATACGACTGACCAGCATTGACATTTATTTAATTATTAAAAAATCAAAACTTACAATCCAATACATTAAATCAACAGTACAGTACCTACAGTTCTAGAGAAAGCCAATAACAGGTGTATGAACAAACAAAATGTCGTGGCAATCAGAATAAAGATCAGAAGTTATAGGAAATATAAATAAAATAATATAATTTACACAATGAAGAAAAATTATAGACAACTCATTTTAAGAATTATAAGAATATGAGAATTGTATCTAAATTAGAAGTCACTTTGTATGTGTGTGTGTAAGAAAGAATGTATGTATATAATTACAGTGTATGAAAACAGTGATAGGTTGTGATACCATAGAATTTCTTTTATTTGTTATTTTAGAATAATATCTAAAGGTTAACTTTAAAAGATTTATTATAAGTTGACGTTATGCGTGAAAACATACCGGTAACGAGAATAATGCTGTTCCACGTACACGACAGGGGGGAACGAAGAATGTAGTGGAGTTGTGGATCAATATTATCAATGTGTCTCGTGATAATTCGTACAAAAAGATGCGTCCAAAAGTTTATGACGCAAGTCTAACATTAATAGTTTACAGTACTTACATCCTTGCTCATAATATGTCTATACATTTTTTAAAAGTTAAGGTATTTAATAAATCGGCATTGGACCAGCTCCTATAAATTTGATACTGTGGTGACCATAATCAACTCGCGTACTCTAGTGTATGCATATATTCTATATATTCAAAATCTAGCCATACAAAATGTTGACAAAAGAAGCATATAACCTATTAGGTTATATGCTTCTTGTTGTTGGGTTTACACTAGTGTACAAGAACGAAAATAATTATTTCCTGTTCCCACTCCAATCAAAAAAACGTTGGAAAACGAAAGCAAGAAGTAGGTCAATACTTACGACATCCACTCCGCGTGGTTTCAGTTCGCGGCGTAAGCAAGCGGCAAGTGCGTCGAGCGCAGCAAGGGAAGCAGCATGCACACCGCGAACTGGTGCAGCCACGTGTGTCAATATTGATGATGCTAGCACTACACGGCCACGAGCGCGTCGCACCAACGGAAGCATCACTTGTACCAATCTAGCTGGACCTGTTAAAATTTCATTCAAAATTAAGATTTTTTTTTAATGTTGGCTATTTCTAATCTAGCTTATTGCTTGTGATCTCATATGATATTATTTTATTTTATTTTTATAAAGGCGTGTATAAAATATAAAGTTTGTGAGTATTTTGATGGAATATTTGGATGGATAGATGAATGGATGCTAGCAGTATACAGAAAACAGCTTATATATCAGAATAACACATAGGCATAGCAATTTATGCGGGCGAAAACGCGGACACAGCTACAAGCTCACATAGTCTGAAATATTACCTAAGTATTATAGTTATTTCATAAAAGTACTAGGTACTACTACTAAGTATATGATACGGTGGCAGTCAATTCTTTTAATTACACAATACTTTTCCATGTATGTATCGTATCTGGGCCAATAGTTACCAAAGGTTTTACGTAAGTTTTCACATCGAAATATTATAAATAATTAACAACAAGAAGTATTATATAGATACTTATTTAACTTTAACTTTATTTAACTATAAAATATATCTCGTCGGCAGTGCCATCTGTGTAATAGTAGTATTACTTACAACCGTCGTAGCTCCGTAGCGCCGCACTGCAGTAGCAAGTAAATATTGTGGAGGCGTATATCTGAACTTACCAAGTAGGTTTACATCCATTGCTCGCTTTACGACTGAGAACGGAACCCATTCTAATTCTCCAAGAGCACACCACGATTCACAGTTTACGATAGCCCATAGACCTTGAGCGCCCTCTGGTAAATGGTCGACAATGTACAGGGAAGCTGAGAGAATCTGGTAATAGATAATTCATATATTAACTAGTAGATATCGTTAGCGAGTCACTTAGTCTAAATAAATTCCAAGGTAGTATTAATTTTTATGTGCTGCAATAAATTTCTTTACAGAGAACAATTTTTCATATAATAATTTTCTGTTTACTAACATATAATTTTTATTACTATTCTATTAAATACCTGTATTATTATGTTAATAATTTTCAGTCCTTCGGCTACGACTTACGTAACTTGTATTTACAATGAAATTGATATGTTTATGCTGTATTTACTGCTTAATTTGGTAGTATGTTTTTGTGTGTTATCAGAAATATGAGGTACATAATTAAGTACTTGTGTTTCCGAAGTGCAGTCGAGTTGAATTGTATGCAGTCTTCCTGAGCAGTCTTCTTTTAACATATCAGCGTCTATATTGCCTGCTTTGTTTTGAAACCCAGCAAACACATGGTATCCCAGGTCATCAAGTCTACGTGCCAATGCGTTTCCAAGGACATTGTCGCAGCCAGTCACTAGTACAGCTTTTCCGGCCGCTGTTACCTTTAATATTCGAAAATGGTTCGTTTTAAATCATTAATATTGATATAGTACAACATGTATTTTACATGTTAATCTATCTCTATATGTAGATTATAATTAATAAACAAAATCTGGCCCACGTCAATCTCAAACATTTTACTAGCAACCCGCTCATAATTCTATAGTCTAATATTAATTATTAATTTCCCATTCCCGTGGGAACTTTGGAATAAAATGTATGTGGAATATTCTTATACAGAATAACAACATTGTGTAAAAGTTTTGAGTTTATTGATCGACAGTACATTTCGAGTTCTAAGGATATAAATAAACATTTTCTGAATTTTTACGTAGATACAGGTTAACATAATAATTTGCGATTTAGTAAAAATTTGAAAGTAGTTTTTAACTGCAAATTTTTCTAATTCACTTGTATTTTTTTACCCACAACGATAGTGGCAATCAAGCATACGGCCCTTCTGATGGTAAATAGTTACGGTAGCCAATGGACGCCTGAACACCAGGGATATTAAGTGGGCCATGCCGACCGTTAAGAAACATTATATTCCCCTCTTGAAAAACCAAATGCTGTAGTCTATAGACAACTCTCAAGTATCTCAGGCGTCCGTAGGTTATGGTAACCTTTAAGCATCAGATGAGCCATATGCATGTTTGTCGCCATATTAATAAAAAAAAAACTGAGTCTTGTGGGACGCCAGCGTTAATATTTATGTGATCGGAGCAACTACTATCGACCATGGTTTTGATGTATCTGCCAAACAAAAAACTAGTGATTTGAATAATCCCTCTAGTACTTACGAGTACAATTTGATAGAAGTGGTACCAAACCCGATCGAATACCTACGTTATATCAAGGCTAACTCATCTTTGCTGAATTTGCTCTAACTGATCTGACCTCATACTCATTTTATCATGTTCCACTGGTGTCCCGCTAGAGTAAAGCGCAGGTAAGTGGATCATACCATTATTGTCCCTTGAAAAATACAACTGCCTTTATGCTTTTAATGGAAGATACACAAAAAATCACAGTTAATCACCAGTAAATTAGATTGAATAAATATATAAATATAGTAAATTTATTTATATACAACAGTGGTGGAAACGTACGGTATATCTGATTTGGTGGTTATCTTAAACGGTTATTGTAGTAATGTCATGCACGCATTTAGAAATCATCATATATGCTTTTTGAAAGATTGGATTATAATTTTCATATTACTAAGATGACCATTTGTAAATGAGCATTTCATTGCACACCGGAGGATAATGTGCAGACAAATAAATTAAGTCTTCATACAAAATAGACGGCGACAGCTTGATTGATGTGCGTTATAATAACTGCCCAGTGAATATTTTATTTAGGCAATTGTTGGTGCCTACCTATGCGTGACGTAGTGACGTTCGAGGTTAACTATTTCAGGTTTGCCTGATCGTTAATTCTTAATCTTCTAGTGCTCTCACTGTTCAAAGTCACGCACCAATCACAGGCCATGTTTGCATATTTGGTGATTGTTAGCTTTTATGACGATTCCGACTTGTTATTGCAGATAAATTAAACGTAACTGGCAGGCAATAAAATTAAAAATAGTTAATAGTGTACAGGACTTGGAAAAATATGTTTTTAAATGGTTTCTCATAACAAGTAAAAGTTACCTGTCCGACAGGCAAACTTAGTAAAACTTTATTTTTTCATATTTCAATTGAATGTGAGTACTAACTTGCTATAAGGTATATATTAGGGATTCATGTAGACGTCGGACAATATTCCAGTTAGAAAAGAAAACAGCGAGTATGAGTTATATTTTCTTTCGTGGCATTTATTCTGTAAAAACAGGACCATTAACCTATTTTAAATCGGACTTTTGCATGGATTGATGACGCAAGTGACTATGCCGAGGTTGGCACCAGAGTACAATCTATTCAGCATTTTTACGTGTCCCTTAACGTGTCCTTTGGGCCACGTAACCCACCAATCGTATGTAGGTATTGTATCTAGTAATTATGTGAAAACGGAACTCCTAGTTGAGCTACACAATTTCATAAGTGTAGAGCTTATTTTCATAATTACGTGCTTTTAATATTTATTCTCACCTACTCAATACTTAATTATGAATATTTGCAAGGTAGTTGTAATACATTTTGTATTTGTAAATTTAAATTGATATTTAATTTATCAATGGACAATAGACATAGAACACAATTAAAATATTAAACGATTAGAATATGTATATATAAAATTAAAAAAATAGGGATTACGTACAGACCACATTATTTACATTTATCTATAACAAGTCATTTGATACTATTATTTGAAGATCATATGTATACTATATGCAAGTCAGTTATGTGCATACTATAATCAGTTAAGTTGTTTTATCTATATAAAACAGCAGTTATTTTATAAATTAACATTTGTTCATTGTTTTTCTTTGTTCATCGCACCATTAAAAATTAAATAATTAAACTTTCGTAGCTCACATCATGTAAAACAAATTAATAAATACACAAAAACCTTTGTAGTTGTAGAATAATACCTATTCTATAACTTGACTATAAAAATTTTTGTTCTAAATTCTATTCTGTGATATAAATATTCTTTATTGTTTTTATTCTTATAAACATAAAAAGTACAAAGTATTAAATTTCACATAATATGTTGAAAGGACGTATAAGTAGTTATTCATACGCGGGAAACTTAAACGGCATTACAGGTTACCAATTTTTTATAGTTTCTGAATGTGGTAAAAAATTCCAATAAAATAACAGTAACCCACTGACCTGCAATCCAATGCAGAGCTGTTAAAGAATAATGCGCACACCAGTTAGAAGAAGAAAACTGAGTAGGAAGAGTAGAAAAACGGAGACAGACTTTTGCGGAATATAACGAAACGCCATTTGCGAAATAGTTTAGGCAAGAGTAAACACAGATTGTATCTTCGTCTAGGAGTATTTTTCCAGAACTGTTTTATAACGCGTGTAGGTATTGGTAATCATTTAATGAAAGAAAATTGGAGCACAAAATGTTTGTTCTTATTATTATATACTATATTTTATTAATAATAACAAAGGACTTGGCTAACAAAGGCTTGCGTATATTTTTCTTTTTTTTCCTTTTTTATTTAAAAGAATGTTAGCATTATTAGAGGTCAGTAATATATGTCAGTCCATCAGTTCGTATCTCGTCCGGAATTTAGCCAATAGGTGACTGTGGAGTCTATCAGTAAAGTAAACTACTAGTACGTGGAAGTGCAATAAAAATCTGAACGGCCTATTCATAATGAATGAAATAATTGTAATTTATAATGTCGGTAGTTTATAACCACAGACATAAAAAATGTAAATAATTACAATAAATGCTAGGAAATCTTCGGTTGTTTACTCAAATGGCGTAGATAGCAGATGAACAGTGCGTTACGTTATACAAATAAATAACGATTGAGTTTGAATTCGTTCCTTAGTCATATGTCAGAACTGCTTATTTGTCTAATAATGTGGATGTTATTTTAAAAAAAGAAGGTAAGCTAAACAGAAAAAAAGCTATAATAAAAATCGCTGAAGGTGAGTTTGACAATTATGTATCTATTAGTATAACTATGTAATATTATGTTATCTGTAGATATTAGACTCACACGTAGATATTAGATAATAATTGTCTGATAATTTTTATTGGGTTTAGTTAGATGTTAAATGAATCTCACTAATTATAATTATACATGTTCACGACGACCATTTGTTCTATAATCAAATCCTAATATACTAAATAATGCTGTAGTCTCCAATACAGGACTAATGATTGTAAGCAGCCATTATGGTGGGATAGTTCGCTTCGTCCTCGTAGCTCAATATGGTAGTGTAATGATGTAGTCTCTATCAAAACTCGAAAATGTTTGAATGTGTATGTCACAGGCATACATACACTGTACGCTTTTCAATGATTTTGGAGCAGTACTCGTTAGAAACAGATACTGGAAAATGGATGGATTAAAAATAGTTTTCTTACAAGCGTTTTATTGATAAAGGTGTGTGTATAGAGAATTTATGTATGCAGTACCTATACACCACGAGTTTTACACTCTTTTAACTTTTTTCAAAGTTTATCGTTTTATTCTTTTTTATAAATCGTAAATAGTATCTATGGCTACTTATTTTTTACTGAACGACGACCTCCTAACGTGATTTTTCTGTATATGACTGACGGTAGATCAATATTCAAAAGTGATCGTTGACGTTTTGACTGGCATCTAGGCGTTGGTTTCGTGTATGACGTCCGACTAGACATTAGTCGCTACCGACAATGTAACATTGGAGATCACGGATTTTAATGTTGATGAATTTTAGCAATTACTGTACATATAATGTTCAAAAGAATTCACGTTACAAAGTAATTAGTAGTAGGCATATAATATTTACAGAAACAAATACTTCTATTATCTATTATTAAAAGTTCTATACTTTGCCCTATCTATGTTGTTACAGACAAACTAAAATTAAGCCTGTGGAATGTGTCAAACAAAAAATGAGCGATGGATAACTATAAAAAACATTTAAAAACATCGAGAGTACCTAAACGTGAATTACAGAAAATTTTATAATTCAAATATCACAACAGTTGGTAGACTTTAATCGGTATGTACAGCATTCGACTTATTTTTGAAAGAAATCGTTTCAATCACTTATCATCAATTGCTATTCTCATTCAATTTAGATTTTGACGTTAAACCATTATTATATTTTATTATTTTTATATCTCTACCGTAAAAGTTATATTAATATCTTATCTCTGTAATTATAGATGTTCAAACTTATTTGCTTAAAACCACCTAGACATAGAAATGAAATTATTTATTTGATTGAAATTATTGTGTGAACAATCTTAGTAAGTACGTATTATTGTTTATTAATTCGTCTTACCTACTATATATGAGGCTATGTCGTTTTTTCATCTTAACTTATGAAATAGTTCTATAGGAAGATGATTAGCAAATATGAACAGCATTACA